AAAAAAAAAACAGCGCAGAACACTGCCACATTCTCTAAACTATATTCTACTTGGAAATTTTAACTTGTTCGTGTTGACAGTCTTCAGGGTTTGGGTAATGGTGGCCAGTAACCGCTGTTCTCTCGACTGCCTCAAAGGACAGATGCAAATAGCTACCCACAATGAGATGATTGTCTTTGAAAAACATCTTAAATCTTGAGTTACAGCCACAAATAGTGGCATAATGCAAAAATAAAAAAAATGTCTCCATGTCTCCATTATGCAAAGATAGTTAAGTATGGATAGAAGATGTAATTGTATTATAATTTTAATAAATTATAAAAATACTCAATAAGAACAAAGGAAATTAAACAAGATGGTCTTTGATGGGTAATATACAAGACTTAAAGAAATAGAACTTTATGTCATGTTTTTGATAAATTAACAAAATATGAAAAGAGAAAATTCTACCAGAATTAATGTATAGATACTTTAGTTTATTTTTCAATAGAAATTTGTTATGAAAATTTCTCAGTATAACAAACCAGAAGAGGCAATAAAAGAACAGCTATTGAGGACTTGTCTTTTCTGTTATCAGAACATAATATAAAGTAATGTAGATCCAATCAACATAGCATTGCCATAGAAATTTAGTATATATCAGTATAGCACAGGCCATGAGTCATTTTCTGCTTTTTACCTGTTTTAATAACCCATATAAACTGTATATGGGTCTTACAGTTTGTCAGCAATGGAACAAATGCAAAAAGAACAATATAACATAAAAACTTAAAATTGTATAATGTAGGAATTTTAAATAAAGTGTTATTGGAACAAAAAAAAAAACTAATCTAACATGGGCGTTCCATTGCCATAAATTCACTTTTTCTACCTTTCTCCTATTGTGGCAGATCCTGAGCTGAGAATTTCAGCAGAAATATTCATGGTCAAGATTAGAAACTGCCCACAGAAATCTAGAACAAATGGAGGAGATAAGCATTTAGAAAAATATTTAAATAGCCTCAACTAAAGGCACAAGTATGGTTCAGGCAATGAGGCATTCCTAAGGAAAATATGTACCAGGCAAAGGTACTTTCTATTATCTTCTTTGAATGTCATCTTCTCCATTTTGGTCCCATTTTCTAGGCTTTCTATCCTCCCATACTTTGTGGCTGTCAAGAGTTCTCTTGTCCTTTCCTCATCTAAATTGACTCTTCTGTACATAATCCCTGATGATTTAGAAAAGGGGTCATAAGTCTCATTTCCTGTGTCAGTGATAGCTGATTTTAACAGCATTTTTAAATGCTTTGCTTTCTGTTTTCTACATATGTTAATACCCAGTGGTGCTCATTCTTTACAAAATTTTGTATTTGGTGAATCTAGTTTTTGTCTCCATGTTCCTTCCTTCCCTTCAGTGACCTGATGCTTTCCCCTCCATCACATGCTGATTATAAAGAAGGGTCTGGTACATGAACCATCTACTTTGACATTCTCTTTTAAGAGGATCTAACTGTGGTTTCTTTCCCAGGGCTATTTGTAGAATAAGCTTTGTCACTGTGTATTGAAAGGTTTAGTTACCATTTAAATGGTAGGAGCTTTTTTGAATAGGAGTGTCTAGGAAGACAAGGTGGTCCTGTGCATAAGACCAGCTTCCCCAATCTTATTCATGACCTGTGGTATGTGAAATGCATGGAAATAATGGTGTCACATGTGCATCCAAAACAGTTCTTAACAGAGGCCATTTTGCCTCTTACTGGATATTTGGCAATGTCCAGTACATTTTTGGTGGTTATAGGTTGTACATGTGTAGTTTTATTATCATCTACTGGGTTGGGGCCTGAGATGCTTCTCAACCTCCTACTATGCATAGAACAACCACACTCAAGAAATTATTATACCACCCAAATTGTCAGCAATGTTGAGGATGAGAAACCCTGGTTTAATAGACTTTTACTGAACCCCATATAGTTAGCAAAGAAAACAGTAACAATAAAAATAAAAGAAGTGATTTTTTTCCCATTTTTCTCCTTCTAACCCTTCTCATATGGCCATAAAGCAAGTCTCAAGAGAAATAAAGCAGGTCATTTTTCCCCATTGATATTCTGTTAGTTTTTTAATATTTAACTTTATCATTTTATTACAAATGTGTACATTTGGCATTCTGGATTAGAGACAAATGATAATTTAAAAAATCAAGTGAGGACCACATTTTTTTTCCCCACATGGGTTTCCATACCAATTTTTAGTCCTGGGGTGATATGATGAGGGCCAGGCCAATTATCCACTGCCTACAAACTTCCAAGTCTGCATATCATAGATGATAAATGAATTTTATTTCCCTAAAACAGAAAAAACAGGTAGCTGCCTTCTCACCCTTTTCCTCAAATAGTGAAACTATTGTTTCTGGGAGCTAAGAAAGGAAAGATTTTGGTTCTCTCTCTAACCATTTGGAATGTAGATATGTGCATCTCAAGGGCAAGTTAAGCCTTCATGTTCAGCTTTTATGACCCAGAGATGTCTCCAAGTTCCCAGGACTCCTTTTTCATTGAAATTTAAATATAAATCTCTGGAGTTAGTTGAATCCCTCTGGAGTTCTCTAACTCTCTGTGCAGTTATAAATGAACTTACCAAGGTTTTCTATGAGCTCAGGACCCCAAATTTGCAGACACATTTATTCAGAAAGCTTCAGTTTGAGAAACCCAAAATATTTTTTCTATACCGAGCAGTTTCCAAGGGCCCTGGGAGCAGAAGGATGATATTCAGGTTCTTGACTCCCCGCTCTTTGCCTTTCGCAAATTCACAGTGTGAGGTGGGTTCTTCCGTCATACCGAAGGCCAGCATTACTGCTTGTCCATACAGTACAGAGAATTACTGTGTCATGTTCCATTAGGATCCTGTCTACAAATATAAGCAAGAAATCCCGAGTTAGGTAGAGCCATTTGTTGAGGTTTTCTCTTACAGTTGTGAAGTCAATGTCCATCCCCAAAGGGTGATGTCATGGTGGGAATTTAGCCCTGGTGCTGTCTGGGATTAAATACACTTCGCAGTTCCACTGAACTCAGTCTCAAGGGAATTGTCACTTGAACTTGAATGACTGGTGACTCTGTGTCCCCTTCATTACATCCCTGTCCTGGTATAGAAAGGAAGGACAACTGTACTGGATTCTTTCCACCATTGCCATATACAAGTCCACATGGTCAGCAGCTATGTCCTCAGAGTCAGGCAAGGACATCATAGCTTACTCTTGGCATTCAGAAGTTATTAAGGATGATGCTAAAAATTAAGGGAAAGTTTCTCTATGATTCCTTCAAATTGTACTTTTGGGATAAATGTACTTTAAATTATAAGGAAAAAAATATGCTGTAAACCATAATGCTGTAAATTCACTATGAAATACCTAGCATAGAGGAGACTAAATAATAGACACTAGGAAGCAGGTGTTTATAATTTATGAAATAATGCTTAAAGGTGAAACAGATTAAATATATTAGTCATTTTCTGTGGTGGGGGAAATTAATGATAAGATGCCAGAAACCGAACCTGAATCCTATCATCCATGTTGACACCCTAAGTGTGAGGCGCCATTCTTTCCAAATCCATTTCTCAGGAGATTGGTGACAAAACAGGATGTCAGATGCCAGCTATAGAGTCAAGTCCACCATTCTCCAGAGATTGACAGAGACAATGTCAGTAAATTGTAAAGACAAGCTATCAAGCACTCTATTCTGTGATTCTATCATGTGGCAAGAAACTCATCCTCGAATTCTCATTTTAAGTATTATTTTAAAGTGGACCTAAACTTGACCTAAAACTCAGGGAAGACATATAGCAGTTATTATTAAATGGTCTTTATCAAGATTGCAATTGTCTGGTCAGTACCCAAGTTAAGACAACTTGAGCCCTCTCTTCTGGGAATTTTTGTAAGTGGTAGAAAAGCTAATGAAAAAGAAATCTGTTCATCTACTTCTGATACATATTTTCAACCAGAACTTCCATTGTGGTTTGGTTCAGTAAGTGAAGTATATTCTTTGGGAATGTTTAAACGCTCAGTGTTGCATTTGTCCAAGGGCAGTGAATATGGCCCTGTCTGGAGCTGCTGTTAAGTGCTTAGTTTCAAGATTATCCATTCCACCCAAGGTTAAATTTATAGCACTTGAGACCCAAGATGAAGAAGTCATAAGGGGCAGGGAGCTGAGCAAACTTCTCTGTGGATTGGTCACTGCCCTTTTCTCAAGATCCTGGCATGCCCAAACTGACTCATATTTGAGATAGCTGGACATAAAGTCGACCTATAAGAATATTAGAAAGTAATATAATATTCTTGTTGGTCTCAGGAGAACACAGAATCTGTGTTACTAACATGTAAATGAGCTCGAAGGTATTCAATGACATACTTTGTGCTCATTTATTGAACAAAGTTTGAGGGTTGACCAGATGGCTTGGGGAATGCAACTGTGAATAAGACAGGTAAAATCCCTTTTCCCTGCAGAGTTTATCATTTAGTGGAGAAAGAAGTATAAATAAAGTGGCAACTACAAGGTGCAATGAACACATAACGAGAAAATAGGGGTCATAGAAAATCTCCCCGAAGAAGCACTGTCAGACATGAAAGTGATGCTGTGACAAGCACGCCAAGCCAGTGATGCCACCTGCTGTCCTGAGACATGCTCAGCAGACTGAGGGGCCTTGAGCACAGGGGTATTTTTATAGCTAAAATAGCTGAGGGTTTATTATTTTGTCTCCTACAGTCAGGGAAATCTATAACATGCCTTTTACAGCTACTGTGGAAGCCATCTTGAAGGGGAAAATGTTTTAAAATTTTCTATCTCTTCCGTTTCTCCCTTCCTTTCTCTTTTTCTTTCAAACAGCTATCATCTAAACTCATTCATGTCTATGAAGACTCATCCCTCTGCCTTTCAATCTCTTCTCAAGTGGCAAAACACTGTATATGGGGAAGTAAAGAGACTGAGTATTTGGCACCTAAGGATGAATCTGGCACTCTGATGAGAGAGCTTGAAAACTATCTCTATAAACTAACTTCAGTTGTACATTACATTTTATCATATGTAGTTGCTGTTGGTGAATAACTTCTGTTATAATCCCTGATATATATTTTGTTCTTGCCTGATAATGCTCTCTGTACATTGTCTTTTTAGAAAAAGTTTATTTACTCATTACTTTTATTAGTGAAAAAGATATAGAGAAAAAAACATCAAACGAGTCCCAATGCTGCAATCCATACCTAGTCTCAATTAGCCCTGGATTTTTCTAAGAATTATTTTATTTAGTTAGTTAAATAAAGCTGCCATGTCCAGGCTTCTAAAATATTTCCACAACAAGCCCTGAACCTTGAGCAAGCAAGTTCCCAGTGTTTTCAGAGAGGTCTCTGCACTTGAAACAGGAACCTTCCCATATGAAATTAACAGAACATTTGCACTTGACCACTGTGCCTCTGACTAGCCCCCATGTTTTATACTTTTAAAGCCTGATGATCCATCCCATTCTGGATCATGAAGGGTGAACTCTGAGATTACTTGGCTGAATATAGAAATCACTGTTCTGGTGTTCAGAAAAGCAACCCTCATTATAAAATGTACCTGAACGGAGACAAGGAGGTCACATCTTTTATGTTATATCCTCCCAGCATGCGTTTCACAGGGACAAAAGTCTGAGTGGGATGGCTTCTCTCCTCCTCTTGCTCTGTGTTCTTCTGGTTCATGGTTCATAAGAATGAAGTCTTGCTAGTTTCAATGATAACCTGGATGTAAGGAGAATCCTGCATTCCTTGCATGGACAGCAGGATATACGAGGAGTTACAAGCAAAACTAAAAGTGGCCCCATTTTATCATGACTTCTTCATTAAAAGGTAAAAAAGGTCACACTGATGCATTAAAATATAGTGACTTACAGAGATTTGAGTAGTATATATTAATACATCAGAAGTTTCTGGTCCAGTTGTGATGGGACATGGAATACAATGCTCTGTGAGGCTGAAGCCACATAGGATGGTCTTGGGTTTGCTTCCTGAAGTCTCCTTCAATATGTTAAACAAGTGTACGATTTTCTGTGACTCTAGCTGGCTGAGGCTGGGGGTGGATTGTGTTGTAAAGACCCTGTTGCAGGCTGCCTTTTTCTCATGGAGGAAGTGAAGAAATATGCTTAAAAAAATAATGTTGTGCTATAAAACAGTATCTTTTCATGTATGTTTGATGTGCTTACATGGATGGTTATGATAACATAAATACTATTAGTGAGCACAGTCTTTAAGGCCTGGGACGTGGCTTAACGGTCCTAAGTACAGACTTTCGAAGAGTGATTTTTGTCTTTTATTTTTCTTTTTGTGAGGAAGGTAAATTTGGGCTATTATTTCTATGGCCCCATATTAATGCTGGCATGCTTTGCAAGAAATCTCATTACATTACTTATTTCAGAGTGAAAGTACTTACATTTTAAAGAAGCTAAAATTTCACCTGTAGGAAAATTGGCACAATTTTTTTTTTTTTTTTTTAACGGTCTTGGGTTTGCTTCCTGAAGTCTCCTTCAATATGTTAAACAAGTGTACGATTTTCTGTGACTCTAGCTGGCTGAGGCTGGGGGTGGATTGTGTTGTAAAGACCCTGTTGCAGGCTGCCTTTTTCTCATGGAGGAAGTGAAGAAATATGCTTAAAAAAATAATGTTGTGCTATAAAACAGTATCTTTTCATGTATGTTTGATGTGCTTACATGGATGGTTATGATAACATAAATACTATTAGTGAGCACAGTCTTTAAGGCCTGGGACGTGGCTTAACGGTCCTAAGTACAGACTTTCGAAGAGTGATTTTTGTCTTTTATTTTTCTTTTTGTGAGGAAGGTAAATTTGGGCTATTATTTCTATGGCCCCATATTAATGCTGGCATGCTTTGCAAGAAATCTCATTACATTACTTATTTCAGAGTGAAAGTACTTACATTTTAAAGAAGCTAAAATTTCACCTGTAGGAAAATTTGGCAAATTTTTTTTTTTTTTTTTAACCATCCTCAGTGCCAAGCATAAAAAATGAACTTTCTGTTTGGGTAATTTTGCACAGCAGGTACTTTAAATTATTTACAGCTTTCCTTATCTGGAACCGGAGGAAACATAGCTTTTTCCATGCCACAATTTATAATGTGAAATGTTCTTAGAAAAAAAAATGTGAGGGTGAATAACTGATGTGCACAAGAATTAGAAAAAGAACAAAGAAGTGTCCAAAGCAAGGGGTCTTTCTCTTGCTACAATAAAGGTGGCTATAAGGGACCCTGGTAGGGCAGTGAACATCAAGACAACTAGAAATTGCATTGTTTTCAGTGGCTTCTAAAATAATTCCACAACAAACTGCTATGAGTGAGTGACCCAAAGATTGAATGAAACGAACAATCCCAGGTGTGAGATTAGAAGCAGTGCTGAGAACAGGGTTTAGCTTGCGAAGAGGGATGTGCCATGAAAATTTGTCCATGTCTTATGGGAAATGCCAGGCCAGGACATGTTTCCTGAGCTCAATCCTGGTTTCCTGGATATCTGCATTTCTGGAGAAGCAAATGGAGAGGAAAAAGGAATCTTCCTTCCTTTCTTCCCCCACCCTTGGCCTTCCTACTGAGCAGGCTTACATGCCTGGAGGTGCCCTGCAAATAGGGTTTCTAAGCATCCCAATATGTAAACCCATCTTAATCTCTACCTCTTACTAGGAATTTTACATCCTGTTTGTTGTTTATTTCCTGTCAATTTAATTGGTGAGAATGAATCCATAAGGTTATATTTCTGGACCTGTTTGTTTTGAAAATTCACCTTATAATGGAGAGAGGGGTCTAAGTACCATTTCAAGTCAGTTCAGTTACACAACACAGCAATAACAATAACACCTAGTGTTCATTGATCAGGCATTAGTAGCAGCATTTATTGAGTATGTTAGATTACAAAATGTTTCATTTTTCCTTAAATGCTGGAAGAGTTAATGAATTCAACATCTAAACTATTAATAAGAAAGAAATAAGTATTAACTTTCCCACCAATATGAAACATATTCGATTTAATATATAACAACCAAATGCAAGCTGTGATCTTTGATTATTTCCTGGTTTGAAAAATATCAACCATAAAAGTCATTGTTTTGGGTCAGTTGGACACATTTCAAAGAAAATTGGATATTATAATGATATGTATATATTATAATATAGTCACTATTAATTTTGTTATGTGTGATAATGATTTTGTGTATATGTACAGAAGTATTTTTTGGAGACCCATGATGTCTGCAGTTTACTTTTAATCATTCAGCAAATACATAATGCACACACATGCATGCATGAGGGTTTCAAAAGTTCATGGAAAACATATTACGAAAAAATTGCACCAAAATATAATTATACTTTAACTTCATTTTTCATGAACTTTTTGCATTGTATACACACGCACACACACATATACACAATGATGTGTGTATACATATACATGTGGGTATTCTCTGTGTTTTAAACTGTTCATGATAAAATATCTTTAAAATTTCCATCTTAATTTGAAATTCATTTTAATGTTTCTGGAAGCATCCCCACAAAGTCAAGAGCCTGACAAAAGAATGTAAAATATTGCCATTTTTTATTTATCTTAGTCTGGAGCTAATAGTCTATGCAGTCAGAAGGGAGAAGGAAATAGGTGGATAAAATAACATTTCATAATGGAAAAAGGTAGAAAACCTAGAGGAAATACTTGAAAAGCAACTTCAATGACAGAATCCATAAAGTGTCAGAATAAGATCATTAAATATACAGCTATCACTAATTGTTTTATGGAAAGAAGCAGGAGGTTATAGTGAAAGAAAAAAACGTATCTGTAATGTTAACAAAAACATGACTTAACTGGGAATAAACTTAGCAAGAAATGGTGAAGATCATGATGAAGAAAACAAACATTGTGGAACATTAACACATACAGACTTGATCAAAGACATGGAGACTTGCTCCACAGAAAAGGGCAATCTGTGCTCGAACAAATACTTGGCTTTACAGAATTGTCATCCCTGCTTGTTTATCTATACATTTAATCTTATCTCAGAGAAGATCTCGTAAAATTGTTTGAAGGGAGGAATAAACAATCTACTAGGAAAAATTTTTATGTAAAGCTATAATAATTAAATTAATGCAATATAGATACTAGAAAAGACAGATAAATGGATGAGGATTGTACATAGATGCGATTGAACATTAGAATTTAAAGATATTATTTTAAATTTGAGAGGAAAACATTAATTATTAAACAAGGAATGTGGAGGTCAGCCACAGTGGCACAATGGTAGTGCTATGCTCCACCATGCTCAGACCATATGGAAAGGTCCCAGAATTGCACTCTGTGGTCTTTCTATACAGGCTGGGCACATGTGTGTGTGCCCATTATCTTCACTAGTTGGGGCTGGGGATGGATTGAGGCATGAATATCCTGTTGGGAGTTCCTCCCCCCTCCCCCCATGTAAGAAACAAATAAGAAAATAGTCATTTTTTTTTAAGTATTGTAGAGACAACAAAATAGTATTGGAAAAAATAACTTTGAAAACACGAATTTTCAGTAGCTCAAACCATAAATATGTAAGTAATTCTGCTTGAGGCATTACATAAGATCTGGATTATTAACTTCAACTGCATGAAGTTCTAAATTAAGGAAGAATTTCACCAGGAGCAAATCCAAGACAAAGGATAATTTTACAAAAAACTTTGTAATTTTTATCATGAACAATGGGTTAATTTGCTAACAAACTAATAAGATAATGAAATATAAAGTAAACCAAGGATATATACCTACCACAGATTGTTTCCACCTTTCCTTAGAACACAAATACAGATAACTCGTAGACATTCAAAAAAATGCTCTTCCCCACTCAAATTAAGATTTCTGTAAATGTAAACTATGTCACAATATTGTTATTTGCATGGATCAAGATAACACACCTGTTCAGGGCGATCTGGGGAGACTTGTCCTTGTTTGGAAGCCAGACTCCTTCTCAGTGTAGTTGTAACCTTGGCACCCATTTTAGACCTGACAGTTGTTTGAGTCTTGGTGACCTTTGACCTAGTTGAGGCTTCCTCTCCTAGGTGACTGATTGTGATGTAGCTCACTTTCTCTTCATTTCACCAACCCCAAACCCAACACTTCCCCCAGCTGTTGATCCATATAAAACCTAAAGTTCAGGGCCTAAGTCATGCAAATTCTCCATTTCTGGTTTGCTTTCTTTAAATTAGGCAATTCATGCCCTCAAGAAAGCCTGAGGGACAATACCTATCCACCCTAATAAAGGCATAATCAGGCACTATCATTCAGGCCCTCTCTCTTCCTCTCTTTTTCTTTCTCTTTCATGCATATGTACCCTGCCAGAAGAACTCTTACCATCTCCAGACTCCCTGTCAACACCCTTAACCTCATTCATTTGGGCTCACCTTTCCAGTGTGTCTCACCTGACTGACAAGCCCAAGTTTAAGTACCTCTGCAAGCAGTCTGGGCTCTCCTAAAGAGTGGTTATCTTGGCTTGTGGCCACTCTAGCAAGACCTTAAGACCAAAGCATATAGTAAAGTCACAAACTGGAACTGTTACTTGGTACATTTTTTAAAGGTAAATCTGTCAAGAGTTATTGTAAATTTTAATTATATTTAATATAGTAATGTCTCATTGTTTTCATAATTCTGTTTGCAATTTTTAATGCAATATTTCAATAATAGTATTTTTAATTGTCAGAGGGAATATGTATTCACCAGAGGAGAGATGATGGAAGGTGGGGTGTTACCCCAATGGGGCATGGTTATACTGCAATCTTCTCTCCTCCGTGTCTACATCCTGTTGGGACTTAGGGCATGTATGCACATGCACCCATGTTTTTCAAGCTACTGGAGTTGGTATTTGAACCACACAGTTAGCCATGTGGAATCTGGTTCCCTTAACCACTAGACTATGGCACCTGTCCAAAATTTATTAATAATATGTAATATATTTATAATATTTAATCATAAAGTACAGCCTTTGACTTGGAAATTCCTCTTCAAGCTATTTATCTATAGACATATTCACACATGTACAGATTTATATCTGTACATGTAAAAGTCTGTAAAAGGACTGGCAGGATTTTCTTTAAGTTTATTTACGCTCTCTCTCATGAATGAGAGAGCATTCCCAGGAGGATATTGATAGCATGATCCATCTCCAGCCTCAGCTAGCTGTGAATCATGCACACACACATGTCTGGTGCACACAGTGAGGTCTCTGAATATGAACGTGGCGGTCAGCCTTGCAGAGCATCATGTTTTACCCCTGTGCCACCCAATTCCCACAATGTTTTTAAATAATAGAAAGCTAGTAGGGAAAAAAATACCCCTCCCGAAATTCCATTGTAAATACCTGTATTAGAAAATGTTAAAATTCATCATGACACATTCATTTAGTAGCAGTTGCTAAAAGTATAAGGTAAATCTTTGGTATTGACATATCTCTCAAATAAATAATAAGTGAAAAAAATCAGGAATAATATTGCGTTTAGAAGCCTATTACGTGTAGAAATGTTCACTCCTACAATTTTCTTGGATAAGTGTAGAATATCCATTTCTAGGAGCATACTTGAGCAGCTATTACTCGAGTGCTCACCTCTACGGTAAAGTTGCAAGAAGGTGATTGGAGAAAAACTTGCATCCTACTTAGAATGTTTCTATCTTAAGTGTTTTTTCATTTGCACATATTACTTATTCAAGTGATAAATACAGCTTTGTAGATGATAACGTAATAGCAAATACTTAGCAAATTTACTCTATTCTAGGCACTGTTCTAAGGACTTTTGATATATGAATTCAAATCATTCTCATAACAATGTTATGAAGTAGGTACAATTACTACAGACAATGAAAACAAAGTGTGATGCACACAGCTCTCAAATGGAGAATCGGACAAGAATTCTTCAAGCCATTTTGCCACAGAATCTCTGCTGCTTTGGATGTGATTGTGGAAAGAGCACCAACAGGGAGGTAATCGTTTTATGATAAATGATACAGATAAAAAAGGTGATAAAGAGATAGAAAGGTAGTCCTAGAGGGAATGTGAGGGGATGAGATTTAGGACTCAAGGACACACCTTGATTAAGATTTCATGTTGAATGTTCTTACCTAAATAAAAATAGAGAGAGCCAGAGGAAACTTTTAGAGTTAGTGGACAGGATTATGGCTTAGATTGGGTGATGGTTCACAGGTGTGTGCTTATCTCCAAATTTAAGTTGAATACATTAAATACGTACAGCTTTTTATATGTCAGTCATACCTCAATACATAGTTTAAACAAATAAACAGAAAGTCCCCTCCTTAGCTAAGAAGGCAAGGACCTGGTAAAGATGGATGAGAGTGGATTAAATCAGTATATGAGAAGGGTGGGTTCCAGAAGGCTAGACATGTAGATCAAACCCATGAAGAAGAACTCTTGTTCTCAACTAGGATAATAAAAAGCCAAAATACAGACACTAATGAGTGTTCTCAAGGATGTGGAGAAATTGGAATAGTTATTTATGTCTGATGGGGACATAAACTGGTGGAGCTGCTTTGGTGCACAATCTGGCTCTGACTCAAATCACTAAACACATACAGGTAATATATAGCCCAGCAATTTCATTCCTAGGTGTATACTCCCAGAAAGTAGAAACACACATCCTAACAAAAATTAGTACAAGAAAATTACATTTATAGCAGGAACCAGCAGTTAGCGTAATGGCTATGTCACTGGACTCCCACGTAGTCGACCGCGGTTTGCGTCTCAGACCCGGTGGCTTAAAACTCACGCCGGGTGCTTGTGCGTGTGTGCCCAAGATCCCGAGAGGAGAATGGAGGAGAAGGGATTGCGGCGTGACCATCCCCCCTGGGGGGTGATTTCTCACTTTCTGTCTCTATGTCACTCTCTGTCTGGAGAGCGCACACGCCCTATAGTGGAAAAAAAAAAAAAAAAACCTCTCCAAAAAAAAAGGAACATTTATAGCTACTTTATTCATGATAGTCCCAAAGTGAAACAATCCAAATATCCACCTATTGATGAATAAGTAAATATAATGTTGTATATCTATTCAGTGAAATATTACTTGGCATAGAAAAGAATGAAGTTGTACCATATGGATGAACCTTAAACACACTATGCTAAGAGAAGAAGCTGATTATAAAAGATCACATGTTGAATAACTCTATTAATATGAAATATCCAGAAGAGGCAAATATATAGAGACATAAAGTAGATTAGTAACTTCCTGAGGGATAAAGATTAAGGGGAGCACAGGAGATCAGTGTTTAATGGGTACAGGTTTCTGATTTAGTGAGTTTAGGATGCTGCAACAAAAGAAATTGCCTGGTTTAAACAAGGGAAATTTGTTGCTCACAGTTCTGGAGGATGGGAAGTTCAAGATCAAGGTGCCAACTAATTTGATGAGGGCTTTGTCCCTGGCTTACAGATGACCATCTTCCCCTGTGTTCTCACATGACGAAGAGGAGAGCAAGATTTCTGATATCTCTTTTTATAAGGGCACTAATCCCACCGTGAGGTCCTCACCCTCATGACCTCATCTAACCCTATTACCTTCCAAAGGTCCTGCTTATACTATCGCAATGGAGTTTATAGCTTTAATATTTAAGTTTTGGAAAGATGCAAACAGTCTATACTTTTTTTTAGGGTAAAGAAAATGCTCTAAAAATAATTGAAATGATGGTTTCTCAATTCTGTGAATGTACTAAAATCATTGAATTATATTCTTCCAATGGCAGAATTGTATGGCATGTAAATTTTACTTCCATAAAACTATTTCCAATTAATTTGTGAAATAGAAGATGAGGTTGTCCCTGAGCTCCTGAGACAAGATGATGAGAGGAAGATAAAGCTTCCAGACAACTAATCTGAGACTTTAATCAGTTGCCTATGGGCACATCACAGGGATACAAGTTGCAAGCTAATTTCAGGGGAAATTAGTGTCTGAGTGTTTGTGGTCATCCAATCCTTAAAGATGTATGGTTTTTCCAGAAACTCTCAGCAGAAAAGGTGTATGAGAGTCCTCCTAGTTTTAAACAGAGACTCACAGAACACAGCTTTTATTTGACTTGTTCCACAAAGTGTCTTCTCCTGCAACGAGCTGGGCATGTTTGCAGAGATGGTTGAATGAAGTTTATTTAGAAGGATACAATACCTTACATAATCACCAGCCATGAAGTGCAGGGAAGGGTGTACCTTGTCTCTGCCCATTGACCTTAATTCCCTCCTTAGAGTCATCATCATAATTATAAAAATTTAATGTGCTTCTGTTACGTTCCTACAACTGTGCTTTGTGTAGATGAAAAAAAAAATAAACATTAGCACAAGAGTGTTATTAGGGACATTTTATGTATGTTGGACCAAGGCTTAGAGGCATTGGATAGTTTACTCAAGACCCTACGGTTTACAGGCTTGAGACTTCAGACTAAAGTGTATTTGGTTTCCAGGCTGGCAGCATTTCTACCATCCCATGCCATCTCTTCATGCATTCAATAAACACTATTGACCACCTTTATGTGCCAGGCACTGAACTTGGTGATGAGAATAGAGATGGCTTCAAGGAACTTGCAGAGACCCTACCCACTTGTGTGGAACTAGTATGGCATACTATCTTCATAGGAAGACAGGCTGTTTAGTGAGGCTGTTTTGATTTGTGGGACATCCTGACACAAGTATTTTGATGCCACTGTTTGACGTAGCTGGGTCAAGGTGACTCTCAACATGTAAAATCACTGTTCTTTAAAATACCTATTTATAGCAAATATTCCTGGACCTGACTCTGTCCCTAACTCTCACCTTTACTGAAAAATATTTCCACTTTATGCTGCAGCAATGTCAATAATGATTTTCTTTTTCTTTTTCTCAGAAAAGGTATTTTATCTATAATCAGAAATGTCCTTTAATAAGAATTTTTAGAAAACATGTATTTGCTATAGGGCATATGTACTTGCTTGAGAAAAATAAAAAGAGAGAAAATGAGGATTCCCACCACCACCACCAGGGTAGGGATGGCCATGCT